CTACTACTACTATTGCTACTACTACTACTACTACTGCTGCTGCTGCTGCTGCTGCTACTCCCACTCCTCCTGCTCCTGCTCCTGCTACTGCTACTGCTACTTCTACTGCTACTGCTACTGCTGCTGCTGCGGGTACTGCTACTGCACCAGCAGCTGAACACCAAGCGCAGTCGAAAGCTAACCGCCGTTCGTGTTTGTACCTTGAGTGCCAATGCCCGAGGTCCTCATTCAAACCCTGTCATACGGACTCAGGCGAGTGTCTGAAGCTTGGACCGAGCGCATGCTCGAGGAGGAACAGGCCACCCGGTTCAGGTTCCAAGGTTGCTGAGAATCAGGGATTACAGATTCAGGGGGTCAGGTGATAGTGAGTGATACTGTAGTGAACAGTGGTTTCAGTGTTTTCTATGCTTTGTGCTTCAAGTTTCGACAGTGGTGCTCCCGAGAATTCACATCACGACTAGTCGACTGCTGCATGCCGCTAGGAGCAACAGCTTGAGGCTGAGCCAACCCGGTCCCTGAATCTACGCTTCAAGCCTTGCTTGCCTTGTGTCAGCGCGTGACTCGAAAACGCAAGCCGTGAGTCCTCCCTAAAGACACATGCCTCGCCTGGATTGTCCGAGTTGTGGTGGCCGATATCACGCTAAAATCGCTTTGCAGTCTCCTGGAGCACTCGGAGAGCTGGCTCTGACTTCCGAGCAGAAGATCGACTCCTGGCAGAAGCTGGAGGTCATAAGATTAAGACCATGGCCGGAGTGCCTTTACACAGAGGGAGGGCAGGCAAACCGACAGACAACTGGCTGGGGACCAATAGGGACAGACGGAAGACATGTCTCACGAGGACGTCCTTGCGTGGGGGGATTGGGTTTTATGCAGAGCGGAGCAAGTGTAGCTCGCTCGGGGTGCCAATACGGCCGCGCTTCAGTGCTGGTGCAGGCCAACAGGAAGGAGGGAAGGTAGGATGCGGTGCAGCAGGCTGTTGAACAGCTGCTTTCTCATAAAGATAGAGAGAGCGAGTCGACAGAGAGAGCCTCTGGCCCACAAGAAAGATTGCAGACAGACGGGAAGAAATGGGCGAAGGAAAAGCGGCAAGGAGAGGGAAAGGGAGAGAAGAAGCGAAAGACAAGAGGGCACAAGCAAATGGCTTTCTGCAGCCATCAAGACCCGCTGCTTGCAGCTGAGGATTACATGGTGAAGGCACGGCCTCCGGTGAACCTGCAGCAGCTCTGTAAACAACGGTGTTGACAGCTGCTGCGGCCACTCCTACTGCCACTACTTCCACTACTTCCACTACT